TTTTTTCTGGAAAAGAAATTTTGTTCGTAGTAATATTAATCATATCAGAGTTTTAATGTTCCAAGCCCATTATATGACTATGACAGATGCCGTAGCGGAAGGCTCCAAAAATTTCGACCCCCTAGAGCGTGAGCCCAAATCTAAGCAGACGGGCCTCGAGCACTCTTGCCTCAGGAATTTGGTTCTTCCCAGCTTGTAAAGGCACCTTGTCGAGCTTTTCCCAAGTGAGAGCTTCTAGACGAGTTGTTCCGTGCTAGATTGTTTGTCACAATCGCTTTGCCACTGAAGAAAATAAATTACATTTAATGGCGTACTAACTTTGCTTTGTTCACGATGTATAGTCAAGTATTCATCTACAGAAGCAAACTAATCCAATCTTGTAGAACTATTCAAAATCTTTCATCGGTTATAGCATAACAAAAAAAACATTACAAGCTAAACATGACCTCGCGAAAGTGACTTACTCTCGACTACATTAAAGGACTATTTACATAAACGTACCCTGTTTGTAGAGAATCGACATTCTAGCAAATTTAACCGTAAAATCCAAAACTCCGCAAGAAAGCGTTCTGGCCCGAGTTTCAATTTATTATTTGCATTACTGACGTGTACACGCACGTTATTGTCAATATTAGACTCTTTTTCTAAAGATGGCGTTTCGTGTACCCAGCAATTCATCCACTATTCTGACGTGGTCGAGACATTGACGAAGGCAGCAGTCGGTATATTCACGATCTAACTTCTCATTTGGGTGAACGTGTGCCCGAAAAAAGTGAAAAGACAAACTACAAGGGATGCAAGCCACGCCCTATCGTTCTCTATGAAAGGGAACACTTCCACTGCGGGGTAATCATGTAACCTATAAGAATTCTCCTACAACACTGGCGTGCAAAGTGGTGTACCGCAGAGCCGCGCATGATATTGGCGGACTGAGACATTCGTTTAAGCAGTGCCTCACCTGGCCAATCAACAGTCTATCAACAAACAATTGTTATAAAACAAACGCTTTGATTGCGCTTTTAGCGCAATCCCTGCTGTCATGAGGCCGGAGCACACCAGGCCATGGGCCCAAGTGCTGCTTTGAAAATATTTGAAACTGGTGAGTGAAGAAGTACAAAAACGTGATTTCGAAGGAATGGGAGAGAAAATGGGTACTCATGGGCATGTTGGTTGGGGCCCAAATCCTGGGCTTCACTGGCTTGCGCCGCTAGCCCAACGTGACTCACAAGTACTAACTGCAGAATTTTTCCACTTATTTCTTGACCGACAGCACGTTGACGAGAAAGCCTTGAAATCCTTGAACTATAATTTCGTTTATTGAACTCTCGCTACGGAGGCATTGCAGCGGGTGGTATTTTCCAACAAATAAAAAAAATCATTTGTTAGAGAAGGAAGAAACGGGGCACTTAAATACAAATGTCAAATAGGCAAAAAATGACGTGTAAAGAAAATAATGTATAGAACGAGGAGGCGGATAAAGTAAAAAAAAACAAGACAAACTACTTTGTGTTAGTGAATCAGGTTTAAAGCCTTCGTAGCTGGATACACCATTAGTCTCAGAACGTGGAAAAACGCAGAACTCGGATAGTTTTGAACATCCCGCACGACGCGACAGACGCTACCTGGCTTCAGTAATACGTCTGAAAACCATAAAACGAACTCCCAATGTATGCAAAGTGCGTATACCGGCCGCCGCGCTGTCTGCGCTTGCAAGTTGGTGTCGTCAGCCGCCCGGCGTGCAGCCCATTTAAATCGCAGGCTCCTTTACGAGGACGGCGCCCTCTTCGTCATCCGCCCTGCGGGATGCTTCGTATGTGATTTCCCGCAGCTCTAATTGACGCCTGGGTATTTATTTCTGCCGTTTCGCATATTGATAAGGGGCAGTTATAGGGGAGAAGACTGACTGTATCCGTTCAACGGCTCGACGCTTGATGGAGGTGTTAGATCATTCAGCGCCTGCGCGTTAATTAAATGTTCATTGGAAGTAAGCGTATGATACGGCGACAATGTGAGAAATCAAGCCAAGCTTACAGCCACCATATAATTTTTTAACCTGAACATGCGAATGTCGACCACTCAGTCGATAAGTGGCATATAACGGATCACAGCGGTGTAATGAACGACGATACGTGCATGCTTGGCCGCAATGAACAACCCTGTGCAGTTCTGCTTGGCTGTTTCGAGAAACGGACACAGGATGCACGGAACGGTCATTTGCGGACTATAATGGTCAATGATAGCACTTTCAGATTACAAAGAAGGGTGGCTGTACATCATGAAATTACTAATTCAGTTACTATACGTATTGTATGGGGGGCGCGGAATGGCTTGAGGAAACAGAAGACACAACCAAAAAAAAAAAAAAGAACGCTCACTTGCAACTATAGGCTTATTCGAAAAAAATCTTCATACCAAGATAGTCTGTGCGCAAGCGCATTCACACAGCACATGTATACTGTCAAGAATAATATTGTCAAATCATTGGGACTTCCGGCAACACTGTGGTACGAGATATACGTTGAAGGCGGGTGCATTTAAACATGCCGTGATGAAAGTTTTTGTCCATCATCTAATGCATTCAAGGCGAACTGATGCACAGGTATGCTACACTCTTAATCTAGGTCTGCTTTTAGAATTTCTCTTTCATGGCTGCCATTTGCTTGACTCAAGACCACTGCCTCCTCGAAAAGCTGCCTGCGTAACAACACTTTCCTGCAATTTTCAGGAAGGTGTGCCCTGTCATCTCAGCTTTTAGCGTACTCGAGTGCTATTCTCAGTCTATCATAAAACATCGTCTCGGTAAGCCAACTTAAAGGCCAACTCCAGTGATTTTTCGACCATATCAAGGTGATGGTGTTTCTATGTTCCCGAGACACTCTTGTCACGAGCCCAATAGCTGAAACGCTCAGGAAGTTTGAAAATAATTTTTGATAGGCAAAAAGGTGCAATACTGGAACTGAAACCCAACCGGGCCCCCTGTCCATGTATGACGTACTATTTGGTAAGAACTGGAGGCCGTATACTGGTCCCGCCAGCGCGGAGTATGAAAACTGTGAAAGCTAGGTTAGCGAAGCGCCGGCCAAGCAGCACAGAGGAAGGGGAAAGCTTTCCCGTGCTATAGCCGTGCCAAACTAAGGCCCCTGACAGGGGCCCTATGCTAAACACCACCACAGTCGCCTTGTGGCCAGCACAATAAACGCTGTAGCGGCCGAAGCAGCGATGCCATCGGCTGCGTCACTGTGACGTCATGCCAAACTTGACGTCACACAGTCAGTGTTGCCAACAATTCCGGCAATGGATTCGAGCTTTTCGAGGCAATGTTTAAAATTTATTTCCAAGCAATCGGCGCATCTCTCAAGTCTGTAATTTGGCGTAAATGACAAAAATGTGAAAAGAATTGTACCCAGCGAATTACGTTGAAATCTATTTAACTCAAAAAGTCACCGGAGTTGGCCTTTAAGCACACTGTGGAAGTTACGCTAAATAAGAAGAAAACAACCCCTAATATTTTTAATACGAATAAGCACAGCAGGCGATAAACTTTTGTCACTCCCGGTTGAAAACTTGGAGCTAACTGTAGACATTTTATAGAAATCGGCTGTGTTTGCGCGCGTTAATTCACGCGTACCCGCAACCTGAATACATGCAGCCGTGGCTATGGTGTGTCGCTATGCACTGCCTGCCTCGTAGTCAAAAGGTTGTCAACACTGTATGTTGTCGCCAACATAGAAAACAATGACGTAGACATTGGCTGGACTGATGATATGTATAAAACAGAAGAGTATGTCTAAAAATTATTATGCATAAAACCAAAGCGGTGTGCAACAGTCTCGGCAGAAGACAGCACTTTGCGATAGGTGGAGAGACGCTGGAAGTTGTGAAGGAATATATCTATTTAGGACGGGTAGTATACGCAGAGCCGAACAATCAAAGTGAAATAACTAAAAGAATAAAAGCGGGTCGATCACATTCGGCAAGCATTCTCAAATTATGAATGGTAGTCTACCACTATATCCCTCCAGAGGAAAGTATATAAAGGCTGCATCTTGCCGGTGCATACTATATACTGAGCAGAAACCTGGAGGCTTACAAATAGGTTTCAACTTGCATTGATGATGGTTTGCTAGTGCACTGGAAATGTTCTGCTTTAAGAGATGTTTTTTCAATATACTAGAAGACTGGGAGGAATGCTTAAAAACGCTCACCTCCAGGAACAACTAAGGACTGTCCAAAGGGCCCGCGAATGGGCGGGGGAGCTAGGGGCTTGCAACGACAACTCTCTAATTCCTTATGACCTCGATAAAGCTTGTTGACTGATTAGTCTGCAAAGTTCGCGTAAACCTACACGAAAAAGAAAGCGGTCTTTTTTATTATTAGTCCCAAACTAATAGATACCACACCCAAAAAGCTTTCTGCACTTAACGTAGTGCTGCGTCAACTCTGGGATCGGACACAGTGGGAGCCTTCTGTACCCCAAGCCCCCTTGAATGGCCTCTGTGATCGGCGCATATTCGGCCAAGGAATGATACCGTTATATGATGCCGTCATGTGACGTCACGTTATGGGACATCAGAGTGACACCGAAATAACTTCGCAAATTGTCACTATTCACAACATTCTTGTGATGGTATAGGGTGACTTTATCACATGATGCTTTCTTTTAGAATCATTCTTGTTGGCACTAGTGGTCACATTTCACGTTTGACGTGCCAAAAACTGCCTTACTGAACTAAAGTCTCTTTTCTAAATCCAACCATGAATGAAGTGACACTATTAGAACGTGATGTACTTACACTTCTTTTCTGTTATACATGCTGAACTGCTTTCATCCGTACGGTATAGTAACTCGTATACTTGCCCAATCTTGTTCTACATTTTGTCCTTCTACACAGCGACCAAGTCACTTCTAGCTCTTTGCTTAGAAGACAGAAATATGTCACAAGACTGCTGTTGCCAAAAACAATGACAGACTAAAAGAAAGCTTTATGTTCACTGAGACCGCCTACAATGCGGCAACAAAGACGTCTTTTTATTTCTTCCGTTTGCAATCCATAGGTTGACAGGCTCCATGGCAGCAAAAGCCAGGTGCGCGGGTGTCCGGGCTCTAGTAATAATAACAATAATGAATGAATTAGTAGCGTGCTTCAGATTAAGAACACCTTTTCACGTCAACTCTGAGCAAACAGACCGTATCGCGAAATATGTCACCACTGGAAACCATGTTGGCAGGCTTTGATTAAATATAACTACAGTCACTGTTAATTCGTGTCAGAATACAGAGCGATCATTTTGGCTACTTTCTGTGTATGTAATCTAAAAGAACACGAAAACAAAAACAAAACATAACAAAAGGTGCTCTTATAAGGTTCGATTGCAGCTCATAAGGCGAACGTTCTGTAAGTAAAATAATATAAATATGTGATTTCGCTACGTTTCCTGAAATATTTTCTTGTTCGTCAGCATTCGCTAAAGAAACTGTGTTTTTAGAAAAAAAAAGGTCTTTTATAATGGTTTAAATGGTCATTAAAAAACTAACATAACATATCGCGCAGTTCTGTTGAACAGCGAGAAAATATATTTGACTTTTCTGTACTTGATAGTTATGTATTTTTTCATTTATGCCCTGTACTCCAGTGTATTACTATTTATTGCTTGAATGTATTGTTTGTATCCCACTCCTGCATGGGCCCGGGTAGGGCCTGCAGTATCTGTAAATAAATAAAAAAAAATTCACGACTCTTTATTTCCAGGTAACGCAAATGCAAACCGATATTTGCAATCAATGGTAGCGCTAATGCAATGAATAAATTTATTTAAATGACTTTCCTTGTTCGCACGACAAAGTGAAACAACCTCTTTGATAAATTTTCACCCCCAAACTCTCAGTATCCTTCAAAGAGAATATTATTTTAACTTTTTTTTCCATTATGCTACGTCTTGCCAGGTTTTCTTTCGTTTTTCCTTTTCATTTGTTCGCGATATTTTTTCTATACACTTCACTATGGTATGGTCGAACTTAAAATGTGTAATTTTTTATTATTGACAAACATAAGCCATAAGCATCTTCTCAATACATGCTTGAGCTTAAGAAAATAGTAGGTGGCAAAACTTCAATGCATTAGACACAATGTTTGTGATAGAAATGAAAGGGGCAATGAAGCCCAGGGTGAAAATTTAGATTTGAGCTGAATGACTCAATCTCGCAATAACGTACGCCTGAAGTTTATCCAGAGCCCACACGATTTCGATGAAAGAATTCAGTAGTAAGACCATGCAGGCAAACCCTCGTTTCTCAGCAAAAAGATATCATGATGCCAACGGCAACTTATCCTTTCATTCACTTGACTTTGCTCCTGTTTACATCATGATAACTGCGAATAGCATTCCATATGCTTCGTTTGGCTTCCCTGCGTCTCATACGCGGCTGCATACTTTGGACCATGACATACAGCTACGTCTCCGGCTCAGCCTATCCCGACGTGACAATACCTTACTGGCCAGTCTGTGGCACCGAAAGCTCAAATGTCTCACTCACTCTCCTTTTTTTTATTCTCTCCTGCCTTCCTTTCCTCTACGTTTTCCCTTCCCGAAGGAATAGGCAGGCGTTGTGCCCTTATAGGTGGGAGTTATCAGCCTGTTCCCTCCCTATTTCCACTGTGTGTTCGTGTTTCTGATGACGATTAGTGGAGTTTATTGGCGCAAGGGCCAGATGTGGCCAAAGAGCGCCAGAGCGATGATAATGAGCTGTGCAATGTGCAAGTTCGTGTTTCTGTATGTATAGAAAACCAAATAAAATAAATTATTTATTTCTGAATTAAATGGCTGACTACCCGTTCCGTGAATTATGCGGGTGCGGCGAACAGTCACGCACCTTCTCCCCGTGACTGCACCCGCTTCAACTGCGAAAGAGCAACCCCCTCAGCCGCGCTATAGGGCTGCTGAACAACCTGCTCCTAACAGAGAACCAAATCTTGGGGCCCTGGCCAAAACCGGTCTGCAACACGAGCCAATTTGAGGGCGTTGTTGTGGTTTTTGCAAGCAAGTGAACTGAACGACAAACTGTGACACTTCGTGGACAATGCTGCTCGTACAAAATGTCCGCTAGCGCAGCCATTTGAAAGGCCCTTCTCGAATGCTACGTATGGCTCATTTCTGAAGGCCGTTTGGCGCCAGGATTTTAACAGTGCATAAATGGCAATCTCCATCGTTAAGACGACTCACAATCTTTACACTCATTCTGAGTTTTGTTAAGGTCACGTTTCTACACATGAGGACCGTAGCGGACACTTCGTGAGAAAAATGCTAAAGACCAGTAATACCTCTCTAGTTCACGAGCATACTTATTGAAACGTTTTGGACAAAGTCATGCGAGGCCTGCGGGCCATGTGTTTTAGACCTCTGCACTATACTTTCTTTAGCTTTCTTATCAGTTATTTCTAGTTAACATAAGCGAGTCCTTAGAGAATCTCCATTCATTCGTTCACACAGGGATGCCAACTTCGCCATTCATAAGACTTCCATGGCCTCGCGGGTCTCGGAAAAGCTCGGAGTGTTTATCGGTTTGCTTACCAAGCATTTGATGCCGTCCTGGTACATGCCGTAGTACCACGCCTTGTTTCTCCTGCAGTAGTGATGGCAATCCGCGAGGTAATTGTTCTGCAATTCGAAAAAATAAAAAAGCGATGGACAACAAACGCAGAGATCACAGTCACGGGCGATGCAAATGCGCACACGCAGGTCAGACAAAAAGGGCTCCTTCTGGCGGTTTACACACGCGTAAAGGGAGCATGACTTAGGCTCACACACTTAATTTGAGGCCTTGGCCATCATTGGAAATCACATAATTAGGAATCCGACAATGTATCCACACTACTTACTCGAATGAGCTTGTTTAGTTTTTAAGTGTTTCATGTGTGAAGTATTTTGGTTGGCACTTCGATTTTATCTCGTGGGTATTTGTTGGAAAATACGAGATAATTAAACTTGCTCAGAACAATAAATGTGGCTGCTGCATAATGTAAAGCCCTTGTTGCTTCTTGCCTAGCAGAATTTCTCGTATATTGTAAACCTGATAACAGACCTACTTAGAATGAAAGAAGATTCGTAAGCTCAATCACCATAATTACCTCTGTGATAAGCAAGGCTAGATTTACATGTATTTAAAAAACACATGCTTAGGCATCTTGGCAACACAATTTATAAGAAACACGCCGAAAGCCGTTTTATTCTAATAGCCGAATAGAAAGAGTGTCCTTTCGGAGATATTCGTAAATGTCTCCGTATATATTTAACCGCCTAATATCTTGCGGAACGTTCAAGGGCACTTCTGATTCCGCTTTGTTAAAGATAAGTGCGAGCACTTCATTTTACCTTGCAGCATAAATTTACGTTTTTCTTTCTCACTATTGCTTTATCAACGGCCTTGTTCTGTAACTTCCTGCTAATGTCTCATACGCTTTCACGAGTATTTTTTATCTTGGTTCTCTTTCGAGTGATTTTGGTTGTTTAGCCGTAATGCATGGAGGGTATAGTCCCGCTGCACTTTTGACCTCTCACAGGAACTCCGCCAAGTAATGTATGAATGTGAGATACTCAAATATACGTGGTGGCGCTTTGTAGCAAACGCGAAGATATTCCCGTTGCACAACAGTCAAGTATTCGAATTCGCCCAGCCAGAGAACACATCTAACGTACCTCTGCGACGTCGCATACCTACTGGCGTGGGCTGATATCCACAGACACGCAGTTCTTAGTACTAGATTCAGTACAATTGGCCTTACATGCAAGTCCAACGTATGACAGTGGGAAGGACTTCCCATCCTTATGAATTCTTGATAGTGTAAGAACAAGCGGTGAAGCGTGGTTACGAAACGTCGTTGAATGAAAATGAGAACCACAACTTACGGCGACGCGTTTCTTGGCAAGGCATCGGTGGTACTTGTACTGGAAGACATTCTCCGCGACCCAGCGGCTCCTCACCTCTGCACAGTAGAGAGGGCATCATGAAAAGGTTAGTGAACGACTCTTCATGACCACATACAAGTTTTGAGAACTGCACAACTAACTTTTCTTTGTGTGAAAAAGAAAAAAAAGAGAAAAGAAGTGAAAAGAAGAAGACTGGGATGACTGGAGAAACATTAGAGAGGTTCCTGCCCTGAAGTGGGTCATATACTCAGGCTGATGATGGCGGGGGTGACGGTGAACAGGCTTTTCGAAAATGCACCCGCTAAGACAGAGAATAAGCACAGGTTTTGCCCACGGACTTGCTCTGATAAGTATGCCATGCGTTGGAGCTGAAACTGGCAATATTTCGCAAACACCATCTCGTTAATTAGGCAGTGGTGCTGGGCATGTGGCACGTATAGGCAGGATAACCGCTGGTCCTTAAGGGTAACTGACTGGATTCCCAGAAAAGGCAAACGCACAGAGGCGGCACAGAAAGTTAGGTGAGGCAACGAGATTAAGAAGTTTGTAGGTATAATGTTCGCAGGTATGACGCAGGTAAAACTGCCATATGAATATGAGGACGAAGTGCACACGAAGTGCACATGAAGTGGACGAGACAGACGAGAAATACTATTGAAGAGAATATTACGTTTTTCGTATTTTGAAAGCGCGGTGAGGGGCCCTCCATAGAAGAGGCAGATTGTCCATAGCACGTTCGGTGTACCCTATGCTTACCTAATACGTCTGGTGTTTATTCTTAGGGGGAGGGGGGAAGGTGATTTGTGACCAGAAACGCGCAGATAGTCAATCGGTTTCAAGGAGTAAGGCACGAAAGACGTCCTTTATAAGAAATTTCTGAAGTTCCGTGGCCCTTTTAAGCGATATACTGGCCTTGACAGGTATGTTGGAGTGATCGCATGCACTAATCAGCATATATTGAGTTTTTTTCCCCAAAAAAGCTATATGCAGAAACCGTGACTGAGCTAACTTTCACGGGGCGTGAAGCACGCCTAAGAATGATTAACTTCTAAGACAGTTTTAATCAAGATGGACCACTTATTGATTGTACCGTGAACTCATAAAGACCGTTTATAGTAAAAAAAAAACGAGCCGAATATGACGACTGGTCCAATCAAGCTTAGCCGCAATCAACAAAACAGTCAGCAAGTGTCAGCAATCGTGGCCGAAACAACCAGCATGGCCTCATCCAAAACGTTTCATTTGTTTCCAAGTTGCTTTGTTGCCGTATTTACGTTCCACAATTAGTCTCTCCTGGAGGCGGCTGGCACTCTTTGAAGGAGATGATGTTCCAGGACAAAGCTCGAATAGCAAGAGTAAGTGGCGGACTTTCCTTTTGCCTCTTGGTCTTCATTTACGAGTTTAGTGCCACAATATCATGTCTCGCTTTCGCTCCAAAGCTGTGCACTTGAAATAAGAGACATACAAAATGAAGATATTGGTCTTTATACTAAGCACACGGGTCTTGAGCACTATCTCCTTCATCTAAAGTGCAGCCGCTGCAGTCGGGATTTGAACCTTCGACCTGCGTGTGAGGAGTCGAGCACCATATCCGCTCGACCCCAACGACGGGTAAGTTCCTTCCCATGGCTTTGCCTGGTACACGTATGCGTTTGTCCTTCCATTCGTGTTGATGAGCACGATGGCTATTACGCTGACAGTCACTCATCAACTTTGATAAGACATGCAAGGCTTAGCCTTTGAAAAAATGGGCAGATCCCACGTACAGTGGAAATAGATGATATGCGAAGCACGAATGAAGAAGGTTGATACGTCACTTTAAAATCAGCACAAAGTTACGAGGTAATGGTAAATTATGCCGTACATGACTTTCATGTCATGATTATCATGTTTGGACATGTCATTTACCTTCGTCATCTATTCGTGTCACCTGATACCAAATTTGGCATATCTGTAACCAGCGAAACGGCCGCGAGCGTGCTATGAGCGTAGCATGTATAGTGTTCCAAGATACGCATGCTGTGGTTATTACGTTTGGACACGTCATTTACCTTCACTGTCTATTCACTCCACGTGGTTCCAAATTCGTTATATGTGGAGTTGGAGAAATGCCGCGAGTGGATCATGAGCGTGGCAGGTACTCATGTTTTTTTAATTACACGCATCTCATGATTATTATGTTTGCATCAATCACATACATTCGTCATACATTCACGTCTTGATTGATTTGTGGGGTTTAACTTCTCAAAACCACTATTTGATTATGAGAGACGCCATAGTGGAGGGCTCCGGAAATTTTGACCACCTGGGGTTCTTTAACGTGCACCCAAATCTGAGTACACGGGCCTACAAGATTTCCACCTCCATCGGAAATGCAGCCGCCACAGCCGGGTTCGGCATATGCAAAGCTAGCGAAACAGCCACAAGCGCACCATGAGTGTAGCATGCCATGTTGTTACAAGGCACGCATGTCACGATATTCATGTTAGGGTCTGTAGCTCTTGTTCGGCACATGTCATACCGTACATGTTTTGCAACATGTCATGTGAACGAAAGCACTAAAAGAGCAGCAAGACCATGAAATCTAAATCATGACATTCAGTACACACATGTCATTGCTTGCATATTATGCCTAGTCAAGCATGTTCTTTATACAGCCATGTTACGCCACACCAAGTTTGTTATCAATACCATTTTCGAAACGGCCAGGAGAGCAAAAAGTCTTAGGCGGCTAGATAGATAGATAGATAGATAGATAGATAGATAGATAGATAGATAGATAGATAGATAGACAGATAGATAAATAGATAGATAGATAGATAGATAGATAGAAAAAAGATAGATAGATAGATTATCGAAGTTAAGCGACAGTAATATCGTAGTTAGGCGACAACTCACCGAAGTATTATCGAAGTTAAGCGACAACTCACCTAAGTCGTCGTACTCGATGCATTCCCCAGCCTTGCACACACCCGCCGCGCCGAGAGGGCGTTTCTTCTGATTCAAATTCTGTAAATGTGTACAAAAATATTCCCAAGGTATCATGTTATTTGTGAAACTGAGTTATCGAGGCTGTTCTGGAAATGCGTTTTGAACACATTAAAAATTAAGAAGGGGGAGAAGAGTTCCCCTCGATGGTGCTTACCGCAAAAAAAAATAAGCTTAAAAACGAGTTGAAGTAGCCGTGTTTCGTGAAAAAGCAATCATGCAAGTCAGACTAGTCAACCATTAGCCAAAAGAGACACCCTACTCATCTCAATGAAATGCTTGACATCGGCAATCGGAGGAGCCAATAAGGATTCTGAGACGCAAACAAAATGTGAGGCCGCCAATTTTCGCAGTGGCTAACGTAGGACTGATTAATGAATACCTTCACTGACACACACACACACAACACACACACACACACACACACACACACACACACACACACACCACACACACACGCGCGCACACACGCACGCACACGCACACGCACACGCACACACACACACACACACACACACACACGCATACGCACACGCACACACACACACACACACACACACACACACACACACACACACACACACACACACTTATATATATATTTCCTGCTCACGGCTGGTTATTCTTTCACCCACTTTTCTTTCTTATTTACATTCCATTGGTTCTAATAACTTCCCCTGTACATTCCTTATAATTACTGTCTGTTAGATCTCATTATCACTGTGTGAAAACACGCAAAAACGAGCCCTTAGGTATACACTTATACACTTCTTTCCCTTATATATATATATATATATATATATATATATATATATATATATATATATATATATATATATATATATATATATATATATATATATAATCTCTTTCACGACAAGAGCGATGTAACGTATGCGACATCAACAGATCAGTATAGTATACGAAGTAAAACTAGCACATAACTCTTCTGGGTCTAATTTCGGTTATTCGTTATTTCGGTTGACTGCAAAACGCCGGTGCAAGGAAGCACGGCCGCTAAAACTAACCGAAGTGGTTTTTGGGTTGTCCGTCGTCTGAACGCGAAGTTAGAATGGTATTTTGGTTGTTCTCAGCCCAACAAATCCTACGCCTAATCAAGTCGTTCTCAACTTAAATAAACACATTTCTGTTGAACCGAACAAATGACTTACCAGGCAGGGTGTTCCGGGTCGGTACGGCCGTATCACTAGTTGTCCGAAGGGGTCAACGCAGCGATAACGGCACGAAGTTGCGTACCCAGACTAGAACAATAAATTGAAAAATCGAAGGTTTTACTGAAATAGACGACGCTTTCACTCAAAATGCTCATCTCTGAAATTTACGGGTGATCATTACTTCCCCTCTGAGCCCAGCTATGTGCTTTAAGGGATGTGAATTGTCATACTATGAATCTATATGCTATGTTAGGGGCATTGCTCCCCTATGAGCCCAGCGAAGAACGTTAGGGGATGTGAATTGTGATACTATGAATCTATATGTTATGTTAGGGGCATTTCTGGAAAAAATTGCACTTAGAACAACTCCTTGCAATAAAAGAAATAGAAACGGTCTACCCTGCGTGTTCGAGAGTTGATGTAAGTACTAAATGACCATCGGTGAATGATATTCCTTGGAGATGACACTGTAGAGCCACATGCAAGCCAAGTTTATTGAATCATTCAGTTTACTGACAAGGTTATAATAATACTCTAGGAGGTTCAAAAGTTTCAGAGGAACAGGCAAGGAAACCGCGTGTGGTTCGTTATTTGAAAGGGGTAATTACAAAAACAAACAAACACAGCAAAATATGCGAGCCTTTGGAACGTGTGGCGTCTCAAAACGAACATAGTGGATGTTTGCACACCCTACACACAGCACACCATTAATGTACACTGGTGGACGACATTGTTGTGTGGCATGAATTTCTGGACGGCGGCCACCACGTAACGCAGGCTTGAGCGTTGACACGCCGTACGCAGCATAGGGTCGCTATATAGCAGAACTTCAAATGCCGCATACAGCATGGCTCCACCTTTCGCAGAGGTGGCAAAACAAGCGCCGCGAAAGTCTTCTTGACAGGCTGCGTGGATGTCTCGTTTTCTTCTCGTCTGAGTCACAGGATGGCGCCGTTGGAAGTGCCCGAACAACGGTGCTGGTTTTTTGCGCAAGATCACTCGAATGTCGCTGATAGTGGAAGCTCATATCATTTTACGGGTAGAAACATTTTATTATATATATTTGACACCCGTAATGCAAGTGAGACAAGCACTATATGTCGTGAAGGATGTCCGAGTTTTCGGACCTCCTGTACAAGGGACATCTGTACTAAACACCGAGAGCTTTCGTGAGGCTGTCGCCTTCCATATCACGCCTCTTTTTCCTTTTACTTCAATAGCAAATTTCGCCCAGCTCAACTTTGTTGAAACATCACCGTCATATAAGGGCGACAAATCAGCGTCACTCATTGAAAGAATTCTGGTGATATTGTTCAGCTAGCTATTGGAACGAAAGACGATTTTGAAAGAGTATGCACAACAGGTGACGAGCACTGGGGCTGCCGATGAACGCGGAACAATGATTATCATTTAGGTGCAATCTACGGTAAGCAGGATATACGAAGGGGACAAAAAGCAAAAGCCGATAAGTAAGAAACATGATAATCTCATTGTCGGTAGGCCCTTGCACATGGAATAGACACGCCTTGTTTGACCTAGAAGGTAAGATAAGTGAAACAAAGGACCCAATCTATCGCTGCATTCCGTGTGCGCTATCCCATTTTACATTGTGCCCTCTCATAAGTACTGTTTCATTCCACTCGCATAATGTGCAGTGACACCGAAAGATTAACGAACAGAAAAAAAAAGAGAGAAAGTTCCCCCTTAGCCTACTAACAATGTTTCCAAATAAAACTCTGAGTATTTTGTTACCAGTGCACTTGTCTAATCAATCATGAGTGTCCAGCTTTAACAATTGAAAAAAAATGTTAATGGTGCAATATTTGTGCGCTGCACTTTCTTTTTTGCCAGCTGCGACGGCCAGCCAAGTTCTGCATTCTTCTGCTGCCCCACACGATGTTGCTGAATGCTAATGTGGAGTATACTAGAGGATGAAACAACTGTACAATGTGCAGCAGAACTCTATGGCCTGTACTCTTGAGGACATGAAGAAACCAATTTTGAATCGAAGGCTAGGAAACGTCGTAGTGTTATTGAACGCTCGGCCTGTCCTCATTGGTCAAGTGTCTGTTCAACTCCGGTAAAATCCCTGTTCAACTTAACCACAATCGTCCCCGTAGATTCTCGATTGTTGACGTACACAGTGGTGAAAATTACTGGCGCGTGCCAATGTCCTTGTCACAAGAAGCTAACGCAAACCTTCAACAGCCATCAGAAGGATTGATCTTCCCACGAACCTTTCCGTCAAATTTTATTACGCGCAAAGTTACCGTTTTTTATATCAGCTAAGTGCTTTCTCGAAGTACACTTGATGCCTAGATAAAACTAAACACTCTTAAAGCAAACTTGAGGACCATTACGTTATTGCTATGAAAACCTTTGTGGATAGTACGAGACTCGGCGAAGAAACAGATTCAGTTTTTTGGAATACAGCCTGCGTTCTTCTTGGATGGTCTTCTGTAGTCTTGTTCGAACGGCGTTTAAATTTCTCCTAGTTGATCATGCTTTACACAAATCAATGTATCGAACTCAGACGCATCGAGCAAAAAACAGAAACGCACACCATACGCGCTTAAAATGGATGTTGGTTCGAAGATATTTAAGACATCCGTCGGTCTTGATTTGAGGGTGAGATCACCGATGCTAAGCTGTTTGAAACACTTTGAAAACTCGCGAACACCGTTCGTTTCATGTCGATACATTATTAGAAGCATGCATGTCTTTGACTATAGCAATGCTCCTCAAAAACTTCAAATGGGAATGATTGCATTAATGTACGTGTGCTAACACATTTCCATTTTATAGCTATGACTAACGCGATGCCTTCAATAAAGATACGCGGAAGAAAAGAAAATTTTTTACTGTCGTTGCGGACCACGTACAACTTCGAATTTTTTTTAGGCATGTCGATGTCTAATGGGCCCGCAGCGCAGCAGGGAGACTTGGTCTTTCTGTTCCGACGTGGAAGCGGCCCGCAACGTGCTAAAGCGCTTTCCGGAGGATTAAATAAAGTTCATCCACCTATGCCGATGCCTTCGTGTCAGATGGTAAGGATGAACGTGCGACTGGAAAACATTCATAGAAAATATTTTTGTCTTGCTTACATTTAAAAAAATGTGCTGAGCCGCAGGTCGTAGGAACGAATACGGGTGCGTGGCGGCTGCATTTTCGGTGGAGGTAAAAATGCTGTAGGCCCGTGTGCTTTATTTTGATTGCACGTTGAAGAACCCCAGATGGTCTAAGTTTTCCGAATTCTCAACTACGGCGTCTCTCAAATTCGCATGGTAGTTTTAGTACGTTAAACTTCTCATATCGATAATCAATTGGGAAAAGAACTGATACACACCGAAAGGGTTTTTATATGCCAATGGCGTTCTGCTTAAGGTACCCGCCTCATCATATGCATTTTTACCGTAGGTGTGCGTAGGGATCTCCATATATATATATATATATATATATATATATATATATATATATATATATATATATATATATATATATATATATATATATATATATATATATATATATATATATATAGAGTCAGAAGGTTCTTCGCAGCGCCCCCCCCCCCCCCCCCAAATATATGGAGCTGAATTTGCGCCCTCCCCACCCTAGGCTGCAACACCCCTTCCTGTTTTTTTGAGATTTCGTTTATTTCATCATAATCGATACATGATAATCTATAGTTTCACCAAAGGTCGAATAGGAAAGAGGAAAAGTATTATACATGGTGAGAATAGCAGGGTAAAAGCTGCAATATCTGCAGCTTGACAGCCCCCACACCCCGATATATCCGGGGCTCAGTTTGCAATTCCCGTCTAGATGACAAGCGGGGTGTGGCCACGCCGCCCCTGATCCCGCCAACCCCCGTGTGGTTTTTACTGAACGCCACCTTTCACGAACGCTTTCAACCGGAGAAATAAAATACTCACCCCGCGATAAACATCGTCGCACTGCCTTACTTTTGGTCCTGAAAAAGAATTTAACGCTGTACTGCAATTACGTCTTATAGGTGTATATCGCGCATAAGAAAATCTTCTTGATATTATAGCGCTGGTTGTTGGTGGTTAACGACGTGTAACAAATGGCAAATGTCACTGCGTTCCATATTCCCAATTGTTGCCACTTGGGTGTGCATTTTTCATATCTGATTTATGAAACATTTATTTATTTTTTCATTCATTTATTTATTAGTATACACTTAAGACCCAGAGGGCGTTACAGAAGTGGTGGGTACAATATGAACACGTTAAAAATGATAATGACAGCAGTGAAGGAAATAAAACACGTTAGCATAGTTAAGAAAAGATAATTCCTGAAGGTAGTATGGTAAAATCGTTCCAGTAACATATTGATAAGAAGTATCGCTACCAGGAAAAACAAGGGAAGCGCGGGTAGAGAATGAAGACAACGTTGCCTCCACTGCGATCCCTCTGAGTGGGTACGAGCCATGGCGGTGGAGATTATCATCATTATACGGTGATCGCGGACTCAGGGCCCATTAAAAACCCCCATTAATTTACCTCGCCTTGTGTAACAATTTGGTGGAAGGTGCTGGGTAGGACGAACCCAAAGACGGGAGCTTCACTACCAGGACTTCGTCGCAGCCGCCGCCTCGCCGGACTTCCCCCTTCACCGATCCTAATGGCCCAAGAGCAGCCATCCAACGCTTCGAGGCCAACTCCGATGGGTTCCGCGCCGTACTACAGAGTGCTGCCAAACTTCGGCGGAACCTCTGAAGAAGACGTCGACGTGTGGCTCAAGGACTACAAGCGGGTGAGCAGAAGCAATGGCTGGGACTAGAACAAACAGCTCAATCACGTCGTATTCTCGTTAAATGACACCGCCCTCATGTGGTACGAGAACCACGAGGACATGTTCACTACTTGGGAACGTTTTGTTGAAGAAGTGCAGAAGTGTTTCGGTGATTCAGATGCAAAGAAGAAACGCGTGGAGCAGACATTGTCTCAGAGGGCACAGCTTCCAGGAGAAACATGTACGACATACATTGAAGAAATATTGAAGCTGTGCAAGATCGTGAATGGGAAGATGTCTGAAGAAGACAAGGTTGGACACGTTCTCAAGGGTATAGCCGAAGACGTGTATAATTTCTTAATTGGGAAAGACTGCTTGAACTCCGTGTCTGACGTGATGAAGCATTGTCGTACCTTTGAATCCCTCAAGATGCGACGAATTTCTCCTAAATTCGGCCGTCTGTCCAACGTCCCCACCGTTGCTAGTGTTGAAACAGTGCCGCCTAACGAGCTTGCTTTGACCATACGGCAGATTGTCAGAGAAGAGCTGCTTCGATCTCAGCAGACCTATCATCGCCCCAGCGATTTTCAGGATGTGTACGTAAACGAACCAGAACGTGTGCGGACTCCTGTTTCTCTTCCACAATGGCAACCATCGAACAACGCTGCAGACGCTTATGAATATCAAGGCACACGGCAGGCTGGATTCCCCTGTCATCCAACTCCCAACTACGAACGAAGTTTTCGCCCGCCTGTTTACCCAACATCGTCTGCCTACAGTGCCCCTGAAGGGCGGCCCCACTATCCCATGCCTTCCGAGAGGAGTCGTTACTCTGGGCAGCCACGTGCCCCTCGACCAATCTGGTATGCTACAACTGTGGCGTCCCGGGTCATATCGCACGTTTTTGTGTCCGCCGCCCATATCAGCGACAGTCTTGGCCTTTGTATCACCAACATTTCGACTATCCGCACTCCACGTCATGGAAACCACGCGCACCTACCGGGTCACGCTACCCCTCGCCGGCCTCTGATCGAAGTTTGACGCCACCTCCAGCTCCCCGTGCTCCACGATCGCCGTCGCCACGGCGACGCGCACGTACACCGCCGCCGGAAAACTAGACGGTGTGGCCAGTGGGGGTGAAGCCGCAAGATCACAGGTGCTATCTACAGATATACCCCCGTCAGCGTTTATGTTGAAGAACAAAGCTCGTGTAGTTGTCGATGGAGTGGCTACTATGGCACTTGTGGATACAGGCACGACAGTTTCGGTGATGAGTGTAAATTTTAAGAACCTGCTAGGACCAAAAGTGATGTTTTGCCTGAACCGGGGGGTGACATTTCATGGTGTAAGTGGTGACGTGTTGTGTCCGGTGGGATATTGTACTGTGGACGTCTCGCTTTGTGGCAAGGTGTTTTGCACAGAGTTCGCGGTTATTCCGCGGTCTACACATGACGTTATCTTGGGTATTGACTTTTTGTGTGAGTGTGGGGCAACTGTAGACTGCAGAAGTGGGCATCTTTCTATACACGGTACTTTCCCAACGGCGCTCTTGGAAAATTCTTGTCCGGAGGAATGCATCTTTTTCGTCTCCGTGGATACAGTCGTTCCTGCATTTTCTGCTGTGTGTGTTCCTGTGACATGTTCCAGTAACAACTGTGGCACGTTTGACGCCACGCTCGAACCGATTCCCTCGGCATGCCTGAAAAAGAACATTCTTATTCCCCATTGTATAGTGTCAGTCGTTAATGGACGGGCAGGTGTGTGGACAATGAACAGTTCCATGGAGCCTGCAATTCTGCCAGGCGGCATGAAACTTGCAGTATTTAGACCCGAGTCATGTACGACGCTGGTTGCGCTTGTTGATGCTACAAGCCAAAATGAACATCTAGGCTTAGAAGGTTCAGAAGATGCCCAATTGCAACAAATGGTCAGCAAGTCACTTGACCAAAGCGAACGTCATACCGTGCTCGACGTTCTGTCTAAGCACTCGAAAGTGTTCGATTTTTCTAAATACAGCCAAAGGCCCTTAATTCCAGCGTCCCGGATACGTCATCAGATCCACACCGAATTGGCGCATCCCAGTAGGCAGAAACCTTACCGAGTGGCACCATCGGAGCGCAAGATCATCAACGAGCAAGTTCAAGAGATGCTGGAAAAGGGAATAATACAGGAATCGGCGAGTCCGTAGGCTGCTCCCGTCATTCTAGTGAGGAAGAAGGATGGTACGTGGAGATTTTGCGTTGACTACCACCGACCGAATTCTGTTACCAAGAAAGACGTCTATCCACTGCCGCGCATTGACGACGCTCTAGACTGCCTGCATTCCGCGTCCTACTTTTCATCTGTCGACCTGAGATCAGGTTACTGGCAAATTCCGATGCACGCAGCTGACAAAGAAAAGACGGCATTTGTTACGACCGACGGACTTTACGAGTTCAACGTTATGCCATTCGGATTATGTAATGCTCCTGCGACATTCGAAAGATTTATGGACTCTATATTGCGTGGTTTAAAATGGCATATATGTATGTGTTACCTTGATGATGTCGTAATTTTTGGCCGTACGTTTGAGGAGCACAACACTCGCCTAGACCTCGTGCTCAGCTGCATTGAAAAAGCTGGCCTTGTATTGAATTCAAAAAAGTGCCACTTTGGCGAGCGACAGACATTGGTGTTAGGACATCTCGTCGACAAAGATGGCATTAGACCTGGCCCGCAAAAGACAGCGGCCGTTGAATCGTTCGAGCGTCCTAAATCTGTGAAACAACTTCGTAGCTTCATCGGGCTCTGCTCGTATTTCCGCCGGTTCGTACCCAAGTTTGCGGATGTCGTTCACCCCCTGACGAGCCTTCTACGCAAGAACAGCCCGTTTCAGTGGACCTCCGAGTGCGATGCCGCTTTTCACAAGCTGAAGTGTTTGTTAACTTCGCAGCCAATACTTCGGCACTTCAATCCTTCGTCGCCCACGGAAATTCACACAGACGCAAGTGGCATCGGTATCGGTGCTGTTCTCGTTCAGCGTTCTGGCAAGAAGGAACACGTTGTGGCGTACTCAAGTCGTTCTTTAAGCAAGCCTGAACGCACCTACACAGTGACCGAACAAGAATGCCTAGTGGTAGACTTTGCCGTGCAACGGTTTCGCTCATACATCTATGGTCGCCCGTTCACTATCGTCACAGATCACCATTCCCTGTGTTGGCTGGTCAACCTTCGTGACCCATCCGGCTGCCTCACACGATGGGTCATTCGTTTGCAAGAACATGTCTTCACCATTTCATACAAGACCGGCCGTCTACACGCTGATGCGGATTGCCTCTACAGAATGCCGCTACCATCGACAAATTGTGAAGGCGATAACTTTGACCACCTTATCGCTTCGCTGTCGTCTGGCTTTCCCGATGCCGTGACTTTCGCCGCTGAGCAGCGTAATGACCCAAGCTTGAAAGCTCTCTTCCCTGGAGCGAGAAATTCATTAAGCGAAGGCCAATTCTGCGTCCAAAATGGTCTTCTTTACCAGAGAAACTTGTCCACGAGAGGCGCCCGCTTTCTGCTAGTTGTTCCTGCGTCTCTCCAAACGTCTGATCTGCGTCTCACGCATGATGACCCCACCTCTGGCCATCTAGGCACCGCACGAACACTTAGTCGCACGAAAGAGCGGTTCTATTGGCCGAAAATGAGCAAGACAATTAAGAACTACGAGGCCAGCTGTATGCAGTGCCAGAGCCACAAGCGGCCCTCCTCGGGTCCAGTCGGTCACCTGCAACCTGTAAAGCCTCCCGGTTCCCCTTTTGAAAAGGTTGGCATTGATCTGATGAAACCATTTCCACGCTCCTCAAAAGGTAACCGGTGGATAATTGTATGCGCCGACTACCTGACGCGGTACTGCGAGACGGCTGCCTTATGCTCCGCCACGGCAGTCCAGATTTCGGAGTTCCTGTTGAATTCAGTCATCCTCCGACACGGACCTCCTCGCGTGATAATAAGTGACCGTGGACGACAATTTACCGCTGATATTGTCGAATCATTACTTCATTTGTGTGCTTCCAAGTTCCGACAATCAACTGCGTATCATCCACAAACTAACGGCCTCACCGAGCGCACAAACCGAACGTTGATCAACATGTTGTCAATGTACGTCGCCTCCGACCACAAAAACTGGGATGAAGTTTTACCATTCGTCACGTACGCCTTCAACACGTCGAAACACGAAACGACAGGCTACAGCCCTTTCTACCTGCTCTACGCTCGCTCACCTCGACATACGCTGGACACTATCTTTCCTTTTGTCGTCCATGACGATTTAACAATTGCGAAAACTTTGTGTCGTGCGGAAGAAACACGTCGACTTGCCTGCCTACGTACACTGGCAGCGCAAGAGTCCTCCAAAACTCGCTACGACAGTAAACACAGGCATGTAACCTATGCCCCCGGTGATCTAGTGTGGGTGTGGACCCCAATACGCAAACGTGGCTTGAGCCAAAAGCTACTGGCACACTACGCCGGTCCTTTCGCGATACTTCATCGTCTCAGCGAGGTCAACTATGAAATTGCACGTGTCACCACTAGTGGCCGACATTCAAGCAAGACAGAGGTGACGCATGTTGCCCGCCTGAAGCCGTTTACACGGAGGATGCAAGAATGACTCGCCCAGAGGGCTTCGTCTGAGACCGGAGGAATGATAAGAAGTATCACTACCAGGAAAAACAAGGGAAGCGCGGGTAGAGAATGAAGACAACGTTGCCTCCACTGCGATCCCTCTGAGTGGGTACGAGCCATGGCGGTGGATATTATCATCATTATACGGTGATCGCGGACTCAGGGCCCAATAAAAACCCCCATTAATTTACCTCGCCTTGTGTAGCAATATCAATATTCACCCATAGTATGGCTCAGACATGGACGCCAATTCTGAAATAGAAATTTTGTGCCACTATTGTGTTTCAATACATGGTGACTAAATGAGGTGCCTACTGATAAAAAAAAATGTTTCAGAACAGTTCCGTCTCTGTAGTTTGCTCGAACAAACCGTTATAATCACAACACGTGAGTAAAAAAAGAATCACAGCATATACACGGAGTAAATGATGATGAGTGGGGCGAAGCGTCCGCCAGTCCATCCGTCCGTTTGTCCGTTCGTCCGTGCATGCGTTCATGCGTCCGATCGCGTTCGAGAATACAGACGGTGCGCGGGTAATACCGTCGAGACGCGAGCCAAGGAAGCCGAGCGCAAGCGTCTTCAGCGAGTACGCCGCTCTGTTCGTTCATGCCAACCAACGATCCGCCACGTACGGCGACTATCCAGGAGACTGAGAGAGGCAGTCGTTTTCCGCGTACCCAGGCACAGCCCACGCAGCAGCCAATCGGAGAGTAGCAGTACAGTGCCATCTGAAATATCCTTACTCAACTGCAGTTTGTATATGTACTGCTACGAGACAGTGCCGTCTATTACATGGTTCGAGCGATACTACCTTTTTTCTTTCTCGTATCTTCTCTCGGTTACGCGTGACGAATGCAAGGTAAGTCTAAAAGGAGCTTCACCCCTAAAAAATGCGAATACCATGAACAAAGATCGCAATACATTTATTCGTTCGAAAGTCGCAGGCTGCAAACGGAGTCCGCTGATGACACCCTTGATTCAAGGCATAATAAAAACGAAAGAATATGTAAATATATAATATTTAAACAGGCTCATAGCGATGGAGCAGTTGGCCTAGGGGCTTGGTTTCTCCCTCTTCTCTTCCCTTCAAAATTGGGTGGGGGTGTTTTACACAGAATAAATAATGAAAAGAGTTGTTTTTCATGGCCTTCAACAAAGCCCTTCCCGACGAAAAATTCTCATTACAAGCCTGTGTAATGCAGTTGAATTAGAAACGCTGGCGGTGTTTTCTAATACAGCACGTAATGTGTGATTGTCGGCCACATTATATTTATACCATTAGGCTTGAAAAGAGCAAATATTGCGCCGGGTCTTCATTGCGTCCAGGAAACAGTACTCAAAGTAACCTTGATAATTGGTTCCAAGAAAAGTGTTGGAAAAGCAATTCATGCCGCACTAAATTTACCTACACCTTAAAGCAAATGCACACAGTCTTCGGGCCCGAACAGGTCAGCGTCCATATTCACAAAAAGCTTTTACGCTAGATTATTTCGTATGACAGCCCCACCGAGTAGTCTAGTAGTGGTGGCACTCGACTGCGAATCCGAAGAACGTAGGATGAAATGCCGACAGCGGCGGCGGCATTTTAGATGGCAGCGAAAATCCTTGAGGCCCACGTACATAGATTTAAGTGCACGTTAAAGAACCCCAGGTTGTTGAAATTTTTGGAGCTCTCCATTATGGCGCCTTTCATAATAATATCGTTGTTTTGGGACGTTAAGCCCTAGATATTATTATCTTATTAGAACAAAATTGCAGCCAATTCGATGTCACACATATCTTAGCGAAAGCTTTTCGCCATTAGAAGGAACCTGGCAAAAATATTAACAGAAGGTTTGTGAGCCTACGGCTTGACCATTTTCTCAAATGAGTGAAAGAAAGGTCAACTGAATGTATAGCATATGACGTGTACTTACTCTGAACGATGCACTCCCCACTGTAGCATCGGCCTGAACGACCGAAGAATGATGGAATCTGAAATCAAGCAAAAACACTTGAGTCAACAGGCGTTCATGACTTGAAACAAAGCTATCCTAATATGTAACGTAACTAATAAGACACATTCGTTGATTAGTGTCATCCTGATGCTTCAATCAAATTGATATATGCGGACACTGGCACAATGGTGACGTGATTTTTTATTTCAATAGCAATTATATGGACACTCTCGGCTGGATTTCGCCGCCGGCGCTGGCGTGAGCGTCGACGTCGGCGTCGATATCATGCACCGTATATGTATACGTATCTCCCAAAAATCCCAGAAAAAAAGACTCCGGTGTGCGAAATCAAACTTGAGACCTCCGCGTCCTGAATGCGAGGCGTTAACTACTGAGCCACCGAGAGATACCCCCTTGAAAGTTCAAACGGCAAGGTATTCGTATCTACCACGTACAGCTATTGGCGGGAATCTTGGGGGAAGATGGACTATAGTGTTTTCAGCATTATCAGCAAGATGGCACAGCGAGCGCGCAGCGGCTCTCATCTCTCACGCGTACTTTGGCCCCCATAGAGAATAAGGGGGGTGTGTGCTCGATCGCGCGCCCTTATCTGGCAGTGGGGAGAATCATACGTCTTGGCTAGTCTTTGAGTTTCATCAGAACGATTCTGTTGTAGTTACCGGGCGCTCAAAGGTGACTGCAATAGTTGCACAGCCTCCACTTTCGAAAAGGGCGTGCTTTTCAGACACAGCGAAGTAACAACTGAGACGCTTATCTGCGTTTATCTGTACCTGTGAGTACGTTTCGTGCGTTATTTGCGCGTGAGAAACGCGGGAAACGTTTTGATCTGCTCGCCATTCTCCGCGTGATTTCCATCTTGTTGCTATCACGTTGATTGCTTCGCCTTTGCGGCAAAGCTGTGACTTTTTTGTTAATATGCGGAATACACGCACGTTGATCACAAAAGCATATTCAGTGCCCAGCATAAGGGGAAACAGTGGCTATCACATATAAGATAAACGTGCGTCAGAGTGAGACCAGAAGTGCGAATATTTAACGAAATGCTACATCGAGTCATCTCATACAATAGGACACTGTTGTCTCCTTGATATATGAATAAGTGGCGTCGTCTTCAAGCTTAGACAGCTAATAAGGGAGAATAAAGCCTTGAATGGCAATGCGGAGTGATCATAATGCAGTCGTGCAGGCATTTGTGCTTTCTGCGCAAGAGTGGTTGCAAACTACATAGTATATTAGTAGTGGTAATCGGGTAAGTCAGAAACGGATCACTATTCTCAGCAAACTTTTGCAATATTTTCCATGGCTTATGTAAGGATACTCAGTTTTCACTTGCACAATGCACGATCGTAAAAAAAATATATGATAATGCATATTAAGGCGGCAATTTTCTATGAAGACATGCACTATTGGGAATTCTCGTGGATAACTTTGCTGTGATTCCTGATTGCAAATTTCATTTTATTCATTTTATTCAGGGCCAAATTGTCCCTGATTCCCCTTGGGGCACACCACAAGGACTAAAGGCTGAGTAATAGCCTGATTAGGCCGTGCCACCCTGGCAGCAACGCGCAACACACCAGCAGGTATTATTAGCACAGAATGCAATACTATATTGTCACGTGGACTGTACTGTCACGTATTGTTCAGTATGGGTTGCACGATCTGACAGAAATATGAGTAGACTGCAAAAAATAAAAACAAAATGGTCATTGGAGTAGTGGCCATACAACAAACACGTAAGTATAATTTAGACCCCATAGAAAGATGTTCATCACACGATTCAATACTATGATCACGCAAAATTCATTCTTGAATCTGTTTTGCCAAATATCACTTTTATTAAAACGACTAATTTATTTGTATCAAAAAAGTCATTTGAAATTTGCCTAGTAACAGCCAATGCTGCTCCTTCCTACTTCTTCAGATTTGCGTGCACGTTAAGGAATCCCAGGTATTCGAAATTTCAGGACCCGTTCTCTTCGGCGTCTCTCATAATCATATGGTGGTTTTGAGACGTCAAACCCCACATATCAGTCAACAATACATTCTTCCTATTTCTTAACAGCACGAAGTCACTGATACAATACAACAGGAAGATATTTTATAAATACTGGTGAACTTACCCGACAGCGTGCGCCGTCTGGTAGTACTCCTTGGTAGACACCCTCATATGTATAACACAGGTAGCCACACGGATTTTGTGGCTGCGGCTGAAAGGTAAAGGCGAAATGTCATTCACACAGCGATAATTTAGCCGAGTTTGCGTGGTTTTCTGTCTTAAGAAGAAGTATTGAAAATATTATGAATTGGACACTTTACGTACAAAGGCCGTGATAATGTCACGTGGTCATGATGTTGACGAAGGAAGATACGGAACAGAGCGTGGACTGTCGACTATCTTATCGGCGGCAAAGTGCGACGGCATTTATGCACGCAGCGTTGAACATTCGAGTGTGATCGCTCGTGGCGATTTTGTTCCAGAAACAACTCAGCTGTTCGCGTTTTGGCGCTCAAGCACAACAGATGATCGGAAAGATATTCCGGCGCGGATCACGCAAAGAAGTATCTACACGTGCGATGCGCCCGCAACGTAAAACGTGGAAAGGATGGTGTGCCACCATATGTTCGAGGCACGCCGCGGTGCGGGGCACCATGGATTAGGTTTTAGCTTCCGAATCTCTCGTAACTAGCGTTTAATTACGAATATGCATGTATTTTTGTGGTTTACTAAGTTAGTGCAGTCACCAGGATATTATCACAGATAATAACAGTGCTGTATATTAGTCGCTATGGGGCTATGGCTAAGCACTATTACGCCAGGTTTTATATGTCCCTTCTTGTTAATCAAAAATAATAAAAAAGAAACTAAATAAAAAAAATTCAAGACCATTCGTCTAGGTGGAAACGGTTGACTAGTGGAGCAATGTATATGTCTTCCTGCTATAAGATGTCCCAACGTCTTTGTGTGAAAGTTCACATTAAATTTATCGGGAATTCTAACAGGGCTACGCGTATGTTCCAGGTGTGTTTTGTAATTTTGTGAACGCTTAATTTCTGTCATTGCCTCTCATATTCTCCCCTCGCCGAAGATTTAGCGTATAGATTTACGTAAAGCATGGTTAAAAAGAAAACAAAGTCTTCAAACTGCGTCCAAAGGCGCGATACTTGGGAATCTCATGTAGTGAAAGATCAGTGTCGTTCTGCTTTCATCAGCCCACAGACTCACTATTTTGGGGGACAAACAAGTAGGCATGTGACCAAATTGTTGCGTATCTGTATGTCTCCGTACTGTCGTATAGGATTGGTTTAAAACTACGGAGAGCCAGTTACCACGAGAAGCCGTACAGCAGAATCCAGAAATTCATATTTCTTATGCTTCATGATGCACCAAACAGGACAATGATTAGCAGTACTACAGCTATGACACTGCTGCCTGTCGAACTGCCTAGTGCACTTACCCCCATGAAGAATCCGCTGCAGAGGTGTGGCTGGTTCTCTTTACGGGACTCGGTCCATGAGATGCCTGTTGGTGACAATAGGAAACATACGGTATTAGGGTGTCTGGCGTGTGTTGCATAGGTGTATCGAGAGGTGGCAGAAAATTCAAAGGCAAACGACAGTGGCAATCAGCTGGTGACGTATAAAACTCACTGGTAATGTGTGACGCCTTTTGGTTAGGTTTTGACCATTTTCAGGTCTCAGGCTTCGCTCCCCGTGCAAGTGTAAGCTGCCATGAAGGTATCAATAGAAGATTTTCAATTTCGGAGCATTTCAGAGGCGTGGTGGCGTATATACCTTGAGATCTCGGTGATTAGATTTTGCGTGATAAGTGTTTTTCGTACAATTCCTAGCCTACCTCTTTTGGAAATGATGCATTTTATGAATTCATTAGGATAACGTTTTTTTGTGCTAAATTGAATTAGAAGACCTCGAAAGCTTTATCTTGACCAATATGTCTAAAATATTTATGTATAATAGCCCAAATCACATTAAAAAAATTTCGATCTGCACGTTGCAGAGCAACTGAGTTTGCAGAAGCGACACTTGTGCGATGAAAATATCGCTGCCAGGCGTTCTTTTCGCAGCAGGAAGGCGAAAGTACAATAAACGTCGATCAGGTCATTCAATGTTGCTCAATAAAAGTGACTCGCTGAAGAGTACGTATATTTCGTTTTTTAAGCTAGTTTGTATTTATGATTTTTTTTTCACATTGCAGTTGACTTTCTGACCCCCCACCCCCCTAAAAAAAGCTTCAACGAGATTTCAGTGCGTTTATGCGTTTACGACCTGAGAACGGAGAGTCCTTGATACCGATTTCCTGCGTCACAACACACTCGGGTATGTCGACAATTTAATGACAATTGTCCTCGTCGAAAAAATTCGCGACTGTTCTTGGCAATTCAGGACTGTTCTAGGACTTTTTTTTTCGCAAAAAAATCACTGCTTTTCTTTGGCCTCCACACCAGCCATGATAGGAACAATGGGCACAGGTGTTACATTATCTGCAAGCCATTGGTCATACATGAACGGCAAGCATGCGGGAGACCCTGAGCTCTACCTCGGCTTTTTTCTTTCTTTTGCTCTCACAGCCGAATAACATTCTTGCACAATGTTTCCCTCGCTGTTGGCACGGACGTTGAAAACGTGGCTGCGCTCTGTATTTTACACAGCTGTATCCGCCCAGCTGAGTATAAAAATAAAGAGAATAAAATGTCTGCCCCAACGCGCAAGCATGCTAGGTATTGGTGTAGTGCCCGAATTGCAGTGCCTTATACGTTGGATCAGTGGGTTCAGGGCCCAGCTGTTGACCCAAAGTTTGTGTATTCGATGGCCGCCACGGTGGCTACATTTCCGTCGAGGGGAAAGTGGTGTAGAGGCCTATGTACTGTGCGACGTCATTTGCATGTTAAAGAATACCAGGTGGTCGAAATTCCCGAATCCCTCTACTATGGTGTCCCTCATAATTAGATTGTGGCTTTGAGACGTAAAATTCTACATAACGTTATGAATTGAGTGTACAATAATAATCCAGCCGAATGTGTCGCCTGAAGAAGGCATGTGCCACATTTAGTTTTTTGAGCCATCAGACCTTGTATTTAGAAGACACCTCGCAAAAAGCACTGAATGTGATTTATTTTGACTTGTAAAAACGAGTTTATTAGCAACGTCAAATAGGACAGCCACTCTGAGTGTCATTTTGCGGTGCTTCAGAGAGCTTCCCACTTCATTCGAGTTCACTTGAGCTTAATGAGCTGCTGTTCATAATCAGCTAGTGTCAGCCACGCACTGTCGAAGTTATTGAAGTTAGTCCTGGTGAAGCTTATATGCGTACGTTGTAGCTCGTCACTGCATTATTTTTGGCCAATTTCATGCTTACAACATGAAGCTGAGCGTGAAGCACCCACTTGAAATCTAAAATTTCAACCTGACGTTCCGTTTTGATTTGTAGGTATAGCAGTTTTCGTTACTCCACTGCACAAGAAAAAAAAACAAAACAAAAAAATGTAGGAAGATAACTACGATGTTGGTTAGTCTATGGTACGCCGTGCAGATTTTCAAACCTTTTCAGACCTCTAGACATCAATAGGAACGCTCATTATATGAACTGCGCCTTCTAGCATATCATATTCCAGCGCAATTACACTTCCAAGAGCAGTCTCTTGAAGCTACTGTCAGGTCGGTCATACTTGAAGCGAGGCCTAAACACATTGTACTCGTTGCCAAGAACGCGGTCATCATCTCATCATCTCATCATCTCAGGCTTAATATTCAGTAGTTAGAAAACAAGCAAAGGTGCAGGCAAAGACGGAATAAGAATTTCGCTTTCTTGAGTACGAGAAAAGAAAAAAAAAACCTTTGGTCTCCCGATCGATGTGCCATAAGGAAGAAAAAAGACCATTCGATGCTTCTGGTTAACGAGTGAACCTCCTAGCCTTATCAACAGTTGTAAGAATGGGGATTCCTAAAAAAAGGAAACTAAAAATTCAGTTCATATATTATGAGAAGAAAACAAAAGCTTACAGCATGGACGCTGTCACTGAACATGTAGATTGTGACGGCTTTCTTGGAAACTGTGATCACGGGACGCCGATTAGACTTGGTGCTCAGTTATGAGGACGCCGCTGCAAACTACTGATTAAGTAAAAAAAAAGTATCAACTCAAGTAGAGTTACAAGAAAATGTGCGCTTACCAGCCAGCGTCAGAAGAACGCATGCCATGTAGCGCTTTGATTGCGCCATCTTGCATTAGCAGTGGTCGCCACGCGTGGGTACTCTGATGTGCACCTGCCTTAAACCCAGTGTCGTTTTTTTTAGCACGCGAGGAGCTGTGAAAAGAGTCATTGTTGCACCTCAAGAAAGGATAGCAAAACTCGAGGCAGCGGCCATGTGGAACAGTAGCAAGCAAAATACAGCTATTTTTCCAGCCATGGATAACAAAAGAACATGCATAACAATGAACTCCGAAGTAGATTTATGCTACTTTGTGCTCTCTTTTTTTTCATTAATTCCGGTGACTCACAGCATGTTCACTGTTGCCAGTTGGTTAGAAGCTTTAATAAAGGTGGTCATTTCGACCTACTATGGGTCAGAATAAGGACTACTTACTATAGGAGACTCAATGGGACTCGTTGTGATAGTTAACGGAATGTGCTCTCTATGCAGAATGCCACTTTTTTGGCGTGTGGAGGCTTGAATGCTTTCACCTACGAGAAAAAAAAGACAAAGAAAAACTGGTTAACAAAGCAATGGTTTCTGAATATTTCTAAGGTCGTTTGACTTCACTGTACATGTTGCTACATGATGCATTGTGGCAGTGTGCGGGTTTGAAGCTGCTAAAGTGTAGCGGGATGGATAGGAGAGGCAAGCCGGTGCATCGCTGTGTGACATTTTTTTTTTAGCACGCGAATGCAATCTCTTTGTAATGGTATCAACAAGTTAGACGTCTAGCGTCTATCAGAGGAAAGAACACTACGCCTACTACGCCACCGTCCAGATTTAACATCGAGACGGTGCAACCGCTACTGGGCTTTGGGCAATATACTGCAATGTCTGAAAAAATCTAAGTGGAACAACTCACTCGTCGTTTTTTTGCACCTTATCGGCAGTGCAGAAAGCCCCAGTTATAAAGTGTGTGGCAGCCCGGAGATAATGGAACACATCTTGTGCATCTGCCCATGACTTGTGCATCTGCCCATGACTTGTACTCCCAACAACTGTACACACAAGACATGTACCGTAACCAAGCTGTGCACCTCACTAACATCAGTTCGTGTTGATCCATTTTCAGTAGAGACTCAATGGCGTTGCTATCGTGCGAGTTGGTCGACCTCTTTTACACCCATAGTAACAGGACACTTCTATTTTTATTTATTTATTTTACCATACTGCCTCCTAGATCGCAGGAGTGGATACAGAACAGAAAACAAATTGCAATATAAGTCAAGACGTACAGAGAATGAAGATCTGTGATTAGTGATGTACAAAATGAATTCACGTGATAGAGCTTTAACATGGCCGGGCAGCGCATTACATAATTCAATGATGCGGATAAAAAAACTGTATTTATACGAGTTTGTTCAGTGATTAAAAGGAGACATGTTCAAATCATGATGAAGTGGAAGTTGGTTTGGCAGGTGTAATTTAGTCGCTGAGTGAAGGGAATTAGAGACTTTAATGAGAGCGCAAAAGAACTTTAGCGATTTGACATGACGACGAAAAAAGAGAGTAGTAAGCTGAAGGCTGTGAAGATGAGAACTAGGTGAAAAATACCTGTCGTAACGACAATATATCAAGCGTACGGCTTTCTTTCGCACGGATTCGATTTTTTTATGTCAGATATGTTGTGAGGATTCCATATGACAAAGTCCTACTCGAGTAGTTGGCGAACTAAGGTTTGGTAAGTCAGGAGCTTTTGTTAGGTGGGGCCAAACGTAGAGTACGTTGTTGGTACCCCGGTTTTCTAAGGGCACGGTTACACATTACATCATTGTCATGTAACCAAGACAGAGTTAGTGAATAAAATGCCTAAATATTTGTATTCAGACACATTTTTCAGAGGCGCACCACGAAACGAATAAACAAAAAGAGAGAAAAAAGAGTGTTTGTTAAATGATATGGAGACAGTTTTACGGAAGTTTATTTGCATGCTGCCAAGTGTCACATCATGATTGGATTGATGCAAATCATTGGAGGTTTTAATCGTATGGTAAAGACACAGTCGCCGGCGCACACGCGAATTTTAACGGGAATGTTATGTGGTAAATCTTTTATGTAAATTAAAATGTAAGGGCCTAGTAAGGAGCCTTGAGGCATGCCGGAAGTTACACTGGAAACAGATGATTGAAAAGGCCTAAATTGTACGTACTGAAACCTATTCGAAAGAAAAGAAGAAATCCAATTAACTAATGCATGATTGTTCCAAATGATGGAGAGCTTTTGGTCACAAGTGCTTTCTTGCTTCATTAATTGTTGCACAATGCCTAAGCTTCTTATGTCGTTGAGTGGCAGGTGTAGATGTGTAGAGAGTCGCTTGCTGGATTACGTGCCGACCGGTTGTGCGCCCGCGCGCTCCGCGCGCTTGCGACCTTCGGCGTCACCGTAGCTCTGGCCGACTGGGCTCGCCCTACGTCACCTCCTGCCGCCGACGACAGTGAAGCTCTGACTTACTGGACCTGCTCTAAGCCATCTACAGACGCCGACAACATCTCTCGCAAGTATACCCCGTCCTCGGACTCCAGTGACCGTGCTTCCATCTTTCCTGTCTCTCCTATCCCCCCAGTTTGTTGTTGCTTCTTCTTCCTCTTTTATATACCTTTACTTCTACCCTTTTTATCCCTCCTCACCCCCATCCCTTGTGAGCTCTGTGGTGGTGTCGCTCACTGAAGCAGACAATAACGGGGCTCACTTTTCTATTCCTTTCTCTATCTTAAGAACCACTCACACAGGTGTAGATGTGTGTTATTTCTCATGGGAAATCTGCTCTGCATAATTCTTGACAATTCGGGGACCGGGGCTAAGTGTAAAAAATGCAATCACCATCATTATCATCATCATCATTGATAATCCTGACTACGCCCACTGTAGGGCAAAGGCCTCTCCCATGATCAACAATCAACCCGGTCTTGTGCTTTCGATTGTTACGTTGTACCCGCGAAACTTTTTAATATAATCGGCTTACCTAACTTTCTGTACCCCTTCGTGCATTTGCCTTTCCTGGGTATCCAGTCAGTTACCTTTAATGACCATCGGTTATCCTGCTTACGTGCTACGTGTCCAGCCCATGTTCGTTTCATTTTCTTGATTTCAGCTAAAACATTCCTAAACCCCGGTTTGTTATTGACCCACTATGCTCTATTGTTGTCTCTTAAGGTTACATTATAATTTTTCTTTCCACCGCTCAGTGCGTCAACCTCAATTAAAGCTGAACCCTCTTTGTAAGCCTCTAGGTTTCTGCTCCGTAGGTAAGAAGTGGTAAGGTGCAGATGGTATATACTTTCCTCTTGAGGGTTAGGGGCAGATTACCCCTCATGATTTGAGAATGCTTGCCGAATGTTGCCCACCCCGTTCTTTTTATTCTAGTTATTTCACTCTCAGGGTTTGGCTCCGTGGTTACTACCTGTCCTGAGTATGCATATTCCTTTACAACTTCCAGCGTCTTTCCACCTATCGCAAAGTGCTACTTTCTGCCGAGACAGTTCCACATTACTTTAGTTTGGCGCATATTAATTTTCAGACCTACTTTTATGCTTTCCGTGTCCTGTTTAGTAATTATGAGCTGTAATTCCTCCCCTCAGTTTCTCATCAAGGCAATGTCATCAGTGAATCGCAAGTTACTAAGCTACTCTCCATTAACTCTTACCCCTAACCATTCCCAGCTTAAGGTCCTGAATACCTTCTCTAAACATGTGGTGAATAGCATTGGAGAGATCGTGTCTCCCTGTCTTACACCCTTATTTATAGGGATTCTGTCACTTTCTTTATGAAAAACTATGGTGGCTGTGGATCCTGTGGATATTTCTACCGATACGTTTACGTAAGATGCTTCGATTGATGCCCTGATTTCGTATTGCCTGCCTTACTGCTCATGTCTCGACTAAGTCAAATGCCTTCTCATAATCTATGAAAGCTACGTATAGGGATTGGTTGTATTCAGCGTATTTCTTTATTACCTGAATAATAGTATGAATATGGCCTATTGTGGAGTACAAAAAAAAGAAGTTAACTTCTTTGGCGCAAACAATACGGAAAAAGGAAAAAAGAAGGCGAGGAAAGAAACAGATTGACCAAGAAGTTAACTTCTTTTTTTTGTGCTATGTACCAACTAGACCCAACGCAAGTTTTATTGTGGAGTAGCCGGCACGAAACCCTGCTTGGTTTTCGGTTGATTGAACTCCAATATTGCCTTTATTTTATTAGATATTATTTTTGCAAATAGTTTGTAGAGAATGGACAGTAAGCTGATCGGCTCGTCATTTTTCAAGTCCTTGACGTCTCCTTTCTTTAAGATGACGTTAGCGTTCTTCCAAGATTCTGGTACCCTTCCGTCAAGAGACACGTCGTATATAAGGTGGCTAACTTTTTTAGCACACTTTCTCCACCATCTTTCAGGAGGTCCGTTGTTACCTTATCTAATCAGTGGCTCTGCCTCTTTTCATTCCTTCTAGGGCTTTCCTTACTTTTCCTGTCGTTACCGGTAGGATGCCGAATTCTTTTTGTCCATTATTGTTTCTCACGATATGATGCCAGTTCTTTTGACGTCTGTACAGCTCTCTGTAAACTTCTCCTCTATCTCGAAAATCCTATCTATATTTGTTATGACATTTTCTTCCGTGTTAATAAATGCATACATCCGATTTTTGCCTATGCGCAATTCTGCCTGCGCAGATTTCAGGCTTCTGCAGATATTCACAGCCTCTCAATTCTTTTCATGTTATGCCTCCTCATGTAGGCTACCTTATGCCTATTGATTAACATTGAAAGCGGCACTAGCTCTATTTTGTCGGCTGAATTTGAGGCTTTTATCATTTGTCGTCTCTTATTAGGATTTTTCAGTCTCCTGATATAGTTTGCCAGTTTACTGTCCTGTGACTGTTCCTCCAACTTCAATTGCACACTCTTTATCATACTAGTAAGATTATCACTTATTGTGCCAATGCTAACATCGGTTATCTCGTTTAGTGCCTCGAATCGATTCCTAAGTGAAACTCTGAAATTCTGTATTTTGCCTCTCATAACCAGTTCAATTGGCTTCTTGCGTATCAGTTTTTGTCCTTGCTTTTTAAATCTAGGTGAATACGAGCTCTTACCATTCTATGGCCACTACATCTGATCTTCCCATCTA